GGTTGGGGGGGTCGGTCCCTTCCCTCCTGTCACGGGATGGGGGGGTCGGTCCCTTCCCTCCTGTCACGGGATGGGGGGGTCGATCCCTTCCCTCCTGTCACGGGATGGGGCGGTCGGTCTCTTCCCTCCTGTCACGGGTTGGGGGGGTCGGTCCCTTCCCTCCTGTCACAGGTTGGGGGGGTCGGTCCCTTCCCGCCTGTCACGGATTGGGGAGGTCGGTCCCTTCCCTCCTGTCACAGAATGGAGGTCGGGGGGGGGTCAGTCCCCTCCTGTCAGGGACCGTTTCGGACGGGACCACGGCAGGGCCGGAGGTCCCGGCCATTAGTGGGAAGGGGTGACACGTTGGGCCAGGCTGTGGGGACGGGAGCCGTCCCGTCACCACCCTGTCTGCATCGCAGGGCGACCAAGGGAGGCGACAGCAACCTGGTTGTGTTCCGCCCTCCCGCTTGCCTTCAGAAACTGAGAAAAAAAACATATATATATATATAAAATTTCCTTTCTCCACATAGAAATAAGCCCAATTCTGCCGCCTCGCTCTTAAGCCACGCTTAAGTCCAGCCTGCTGCGCACCAGAGGAAGCTCTTTTGCAACGGCTAACCTCTTACCCACAGCTCCTCTATTTATAGCTCCGTAGGCATCCGAGGAACCACACCTGAAAGCTCCGCCGCTTCCGAGCAGCGCTGCCGCCCGCGCCGCGTCCCCCGGCCGCGCCGGGCCCTTCCGCTGTCCGGCGGGAATTCCTGCTCGCTCACGGATCCCCCGAATGGAAAAGGCCGTTTCCCGTTGGCACCGTTTGCCCCCTCGCACGTTGCTGCGCGAAAAAAAACCCCCGAGCATCTGGCAAAGCGGTGCCTGCGTGCGAGAAACGCGGAGTTTCTCCAGGCTTCGGAGGGAGCCCGCTGGGAAACAACTCGTATTTTTATTTTTTTAGGCAAGTTCTGTTTGCGTTTTGCTGCCTTTTGTCTGCCTGGCGCTGCCACCCGGGCGCTAATAGGTTGGGTGGCAGCTGGCGTCGCTGGCTCCGTCTTCGCATCTGCCTTTCCTTGCTTCAGTGCTGCCCCACGGAGCCTGTCGGGAAGATTCGCCTCGAGTCTACGCATTTGCATCCTGTTTTCTGGGCAGGTTTGCTGCAAATTGCTGAGTCGCCCGCGTAGGTTTATTGTTCTCGGGTCTAAAGAGCAGGCAGGCTCGCTGCTGAATTTCATAGAATATCGTTAATGTGGCAAAAACTTAACTCCAGGGGGTTGCCGAAAGGGACCTGTTTTAAAAACACTCAGTTTAGGCACGTGTCTGTCCCATCAAAATGTAGGGATGTCAGTATTTAGCATATTTTAGGTTCTTGATTAAAATATAAAAATACACAGAAAACGCAGTAAGTTTGAATGCCGCCAGGTTTTAGTTCTCGTTGTGCAAAGAATGATACGTAACCTCATTAAGTTCATTAAGGCACCTTACTCAGCTCCCTAAAAGCCTCCTGCCTGAGTTTTTATGATTTCTTAAGGCTAGAAAAAAGCAAGGGTTTGGACAAAACTTCATTTACTGTGATGTTCTAAATAACGATCAGTAATTAAGAGGAACTTTTGCAAGATTAATAATTGTTGCAATCTACCTGACTTGCATTTTGGAGCTTTTTTTTTTTTTTCCTTTTTTTTTAATCAGGATTGCTTTATGGAATTGTAGCATATCATGGGCTAGGAAGATGTGAATCATGCAGAGTAAGACACTTCTAGCAGTTTCTGGTAGGATATCATTTGCCCTTTCTTCAGATGTAATCATCAGTCTCACTGACCTTCCTAATTATCATATAAAAGCTATTAAAACACGGGTGGGGTGGAAATACTTTACAAATACCATCCCAGATCAAAACAGCTTTTGAGGTTAGCCCCTTATGTATAATGATCTGTGCCTTCATCCTGCACATTTTGCTGCTGCTGCCAAAAATCCTTTTAAGAAAGTCTTTAACACACTTTTTGTTTAAGATGCAGGACTGTAATCTGCTCATCACTGACTCCAGAATTCTGCCTTTTTCATGTGGGAAAGCGGTAGGAATAAATGTTTCAAATTTTAGGACGCCTTCCAGCGTGGTTTGCAGTGATGCAGATCTTCTGCCAAGCAACCGCAAAATTGAAACTAAAAACTTACCAGGCAACTCATAGCTCAAGAGTCTGTTGATTTCACTACAGATTACAGGTTTGCAAAAATAAGTAGTCATTTATGTGACTATAACATAACTTCTGTTCAGTCGCAGGGCTACTTCTGCTCAACCAAAGCGAAACAAATAAAAAAATGTTTTTATGGCTTCGGGCAGGACTGGCATAGGAATTTTTTTTCCCTTTCCATTCTGTTATAGCTATGAGGCAGATTTCAGCATTGCTATATTTAAAACAAATGAAAATCTGTTTTGATCCAGTAAGTAGAGCAGGCCAAACACATTCGAAAGACTTATGTAGCTCTTAAAAATAAATAAATAAATAAATAAATGTCGATAAACACTGTGTTGCTAAAATTTATAGCAGGGCACAAATTGGGACCTGGTTGATATGCCCAAAGCAGACTAGTATTCCCTATAAATTGGCATCGTAGGGATTTGGCATCACCTTTTGTAAAGCAATAATAGTCTTTTTCTGGCAATTCAGTGAAGCTAGAAAGGGGTTTTTGTTCATCCTCTTTGCTAGGATGTCTCTAATAATTTTACCCCAAATTTGCAGCAGGATGATCTGGGAGCTTTCCTTCCCTTTCTTTAAATGTAATACGGGAAGGCAGTGTCTTGCCCATAAGGGAATCCATCTGATTTTTCTTTTAAATCAAAACCCTGTGTATGTAGGAACCTCACTTCCAATTTGTCTTAACAGTTCTCTTAATGTAATCAAAACTATCTGCAAAGTTTCTGCCTTAAGAAAATGCTTCTCCGGGAAAATGGCTCTACTAGAAGCAACTTATTTCTCACCCCGTGGTTATTATGATATTTTAATGTTTTACTTATTCAGGGCACTGTGAGGTAGGGGGTGCTGCTGCCCCATGGAAAGGCTCCGTATCGCTTCAAAAGGCCTGCAAAAGTCTGAGCAACTTCTGCTTTAGTGACCTCTCCTTTCCAGCAGCAAAATTCCCTAGTGCACATCCCAGCATTTCCTCAACTCGGGCTCGAAGCTGCTGCTTTCAGAGCAGCAGCAACTTAATATTCTGTTTTGCTGCATTTGTTTTGTCGTGGGAAAAAGGCAGACGAGAATTCCTGTGCCTTTTCCGGGCAGGATTTAAAAAGCCAAGTAGTTTGACACCACTTTCAGTGGATTCTAATAGGCTCTTAAGTTTGCCTACAGAAGCTTTTCCAGGCTAGGTATAGCCACGGGGCAAACAGACATCCCTTTTGAAGTTTGTTTTGTGGTTTGACAGGAAGATAAGTGCCAGAGAGCTTCCAATGACAGTAGGATTAGTTTAATTCTGTAATTCTGGGCCTTTTCTTTTCGAGGGAGACCTTTACCCAGATACTATGAAGTTACCTCTCATTTGCTTCTCAAATAATGTTCCCGGAGCTTGAATCTGGCCTGTGTTATATATAGTGGTTTGGGTATCTTTTTGTTGCTTTTTGGAAGGGTAAACTACAACCTCACGGCATCTTTTCCACCCAAGCAGGGACGTTTTTGGCAGTGCCGTTGCTTACGCAGAAGAGCACAGCCTTGGACAGCAGGAGCTCTATTCCACGAGGACGGAATGAAGGAGTCCTCTGTCTCAGGAAGGCACCTCTTCAGCCTGGGACTTTTAGGAAACAGAGAAATGAAGCAAAAATCTTTTCAGAAAGAAAAGATGGTATTAGGTTGGTAAGGCTGGTATTAGGTTGGCTTGAACATAAGATCAAACTTACTGTGGGCTTTCTCTGGTCTCACTCACTGCTGCATCGTGAACGACTCAGATACACATTCAGTCTCTGCCAAATTAACATGCCTTTAAAAGAAATAACCACTATTAAAATACATAAATAACGACTCGCAGCCCACCAAGAACTTCCATTTGTTTAGCATGTGCATTTACACAAGGGCCGTGCTCCCCGTTTGATCTTGTAGAAAGGGATTTGAGGCTCGATAGTGTTTTTGAGTGAATAGCTTTTAGATTTGGCAGATACTTTTGTGCTGTAATATATATTGCATTCCTACTTGGGCAAAAATATGGAAACTTAACCGAAGTTAACTATTATTATTTTTAAATTACAGAATGTTAACTATATTATGCATGTTTAGGTAAGCTTAAGCACACTTTGTAGCATTTATCAGAATAATAGTCCTGCGGTCTATTGTATAAGATATAAGTGGAGATATTTTAGGGTGATTCCACACGTATCTTGCAATTTGAAGTTGTCTCAGCGTTGGGTCATGCTGTAATTTAGGCAGAGCAGAGCTCCCCGTGGCACAGCACCCTGAAAGGCCTCATTCACTGCCTTCTCCTTGCATGAAAGCGGGCAGTGTGGAAGCAGGGAATGTCCAGAACACGGGGATGAGGGCCACTTTTACTGCTTTCCTCCCCGTATATGCAATTTCTCCTTGAAATAATGCACTGATCCGTATGTCTGACCTTTGTGGCAGTGTAAATTCTGGAACGTGTGAACTCAAAGATGCCTTTTAAAAAGCTTTGACAGCAAGGGTGAGTCTGAGACTTCTTCAACATCCTTTTCAGTGTGGCTTCCAAGCTATCTCCTTCCTGCAGAGTCTCTTCTCAGCAACCCAAGTGTAGAAACCTCTCCTTCTTCCCTTCTTTCCTACAGAAAACCAAGTTTGAACCTATATTTTCTCCTCCAAGTGAGGTGAAACCGTAAGGCTTGCACCTTCTTTCTATATTTTTCTCCATCACCTTATTTCTATATCAAATGAACCTTTGGAAACCTCACAGTGTGTAGCAGTTACGGATAGGGAGGTTAGGGGTAGGTGGAATTAGTTGGAATATTCAGCTTTTTTCCAAGTATGTTCCCTTTAGCTTGGCCTTTTAAAACACTTTAATATTTTTAATCTCATCCTAAAACCGTGCTTCTTCTTAACCCCGAATTCAAGGTGAAAATAGATATTTTGCTGATGGATTGCAGCCTGCCACTACTAATCTTCACCATTAATTTAAGTGGTAGATTTTGTGCTGTGAATTGAAATAGCCTTTAATGCCACCCCTGCCAATGATCCATGCGGAGACCAATTAGGAATATTGGATCCCATTCCTTTGTTTGCTTTCAGATTAATAATAATAAAAAAAAGTTAGAAGCATAAATCTGAGAATTAAAAGGCTGTATTAATAAAGTTTGCTTGTGAATTCTGTTTTCAGAGGTCTGCACGAAGGATGGTTAGTGAAGCTAGGCTGGTAGCTGCCCACTGCTGCAACCCCAGGTGTATGGGAGGCATCTCGACAAGGAAGCTGACGAGGAAAAGTAATCAGAAGAGTATTTTCCTGATGAGTCTGTTAGTTCCTTCCAGAGCAAAAGAAGGAGGCGATGCAGGAAAAGGAAAGAATGAAATGAATGGTATAAAAAGCAGTATAGAGTAGAAGATGTATTGGTCAAATGTTTATATCCTTCTGTAGTGATGTAGCTATTGCTAAAACAACTGAATGTTTGCACGTTTTAATTCCAAAAAAAAAGGTTTGGGAACAGAGAGCATAAACACTGACTTGAGGGTTTGCTTCCCAAGGAGGGCTGGGAAGACAACAGACAGGCTTATTCCAGTGGGAATTTGAGCTGCCACACAAGGAGTTTGCTCATTCCCTGACCTCCAGCACAGGAGTTTTCCTGCTGCTCACAGGCTAAGACACTAATTTCCACTATTCCAAGTAAAACCCGTGTCGTGTTTAGCTTGGCATGCACCGTAGCTCCGATTCTCCACCTGATGAAACGTGGAATAGGGTTTGGGAGAGGGAGAGCTCGGGTTTTTTCCCCTTCCCACACCCGTCCTTGAGGAGGTTACCTGAGATCGCAATCTGTTTTAAGACAATTTTTTCTCTCTCCCACCCTTTACCTCTTGTTAATTATCTTTCTGTATTTCTGGATTCATTTAAATAACCTTTTAAGCTGGCTGCCTTAATTAGTTGTTTTTCCCAGAATCCAATACATATTCTTCTGTGTGGAAGTTCTTGCCTTGAGGTATTGGTATGTTTGAAAAAACCCACTTTGGAGAAGTGAAGACAACAAAAACCTTTAGCATCTTTCTGCACAAAGGAAGTGGCCTAAAAATACCATGAGTTAATCTGGTGGGTTTCAGCATTGCGGAAACTTTGGACATTTGGCTCAATTTGTTGGCTAGAAATTTGCTTTGGACATTCAAGTGCCTGTTGCCCCCATGGAGGAATATTTAGTTATTTTGCTGACTCTTGCTGTAGCCTGAGAGCTTCATGTTTGGCACTTGCTTTTCTGCCAAACATTTGGCACGAGGCAGCACTTGCAGCTGGGTTGGATGCTTGAGACCACGGGATAGAAAGTTCTGCAATATGAACATCAGGAGAAGGAGCACTTTGTTAGGATAACTGTAAATGGGATATTGGTCAGTAAAACTCAAAGCTGGGAATTGGGGCTAATAGTTGCAAGTGAAGCCGATTTAGGTGAATTCCGTGTAACCGATGTCATCCGTTGTGCAGCTTTGGACCTGCTTCCTATTTTGCATCACCTTGCTTGCTGCTTGCTTGCCTCCTGCAACTCGGTTCCTTTTCTGCCTTTGCTCCCCAGTGTTAGTGGCTGCCTAGGTAAGTGCCGTGGCACCCCGTTGCACACTGCTTGTGTCCAGTTTAGTTTGGAATACTCTCCACGGCAGCTTTCCTGGTGTCCATCAGCCTGAGGCATAAGTTAAATCGTAGGTGGGACTGGATATGCCAATATTGGGCCAATATCATTAATCAGGACGAAAATGAACATGCCACATGGAATAAAGATATGGAAACTTCACAGATATCTGACCAGGTATAAAGCCTGTTATAAGAAGTCAAGGTTGTATCTTGTTGTACAACAAAACATACTAAAGTGTTTTCTTCTTTTTAGTCCAAGTGGTAAGAAGTTCAGAAGCAAGCCTCAGTTGGCAAGATACCTGGGAAACACTGTTGATCTCAGCAGTTTTGACTTCAGAACGGGAAAGATGATGCCCAGTAAATTGCAGAAGAACAAACAGAGACTAAGGAATGATTCTCTCAATCAAAATAAGGTTTGTTAGTAAATACTGTGTTTAAGGATATCCTAAAACATCCTTTCCTATAGTTCATTTAGCAATTTCTTTTCTGCTTAAAGCAGCCTGCTTCTGAGATGTACGTGTATGTTTAATTTTGAGTAGTGGTAGATGCAAATTTTTAAATAGAGGGAATGCTCTGCTACTACAAAGAAAATACCAAGGTGAGGTTAAATATGAAAAAAAAGAGTAATTCAGGAGTTGGCTTGTGACTAAAGAGAACAAACCTCATTGCTAGTCATCTGCCTGAATAATACTCTTCTAAATGAGGAGAGTTATGACTCTTAGCACCCACAGATTCTGCTGTGCCAGTTTCAAAGTGATGATGTTCATCTTCCTGTTCTGAGCTGAAATAGTTCACATTTTTAATATGTGCCAGGAAGCTTGTTTTCTGAGGCCACTGGATTTCTCTGTACAGATCTGGGTGTCTGTTTATAGCCATGCAGCTAAGCAAGGCCAGGTATCTTTTCTGTGTTTATTTGAAGACAAGGCCTTTCTTAATATCTTTATTTTCAAACAACACAGAAGCTTTCCAAGTGCTGAAGAATAGAGCAGTTACACAGTAACTTCAAAGCAGAGGCTTAAGTAAAATAATTGATGCACCAGACAGGGAGATGAGAAGTGACTTTAACTGCTGCTCAAATATTACACTGCAGGACATAACGCAGATACCTACTACAACAATTCTAAATTTGAAGGTTTTCTGTAAGAGCTTGCAAAGTTTTCCTCTTAAAAGTCTCTTATTCTGAGGAACTTCACCCAACTTATAACCAAAATGTGTGCAAACACCTAACAGCTTAGAGCCTCGTCTCGTGTGCTGGTGTTTTTGTCGTCTGCCATTTCTCACGTGTGAACCACACATTTCATGCCAATTTCTTTTTTATTTAAAGCATGCCTTTCTGATTTTTCATAAAGCAGTCATTTATTATTTTTTCCCCCCACAAGCATGCGGCCCTCAAATAAAGCAGCTATCTGGGGTAGTCTTCAGAGAAGGTTTTGGTTAGACTTTGTGCATCTGGAGCAATTAAAAAGCTGGCTGTATAAAATGTAGATGGAATTATGCTCCCTTCATATTCCTATAATTTCAGCTTGCTTGTATATCGCTAAGAGTAACTACATTAAATGTAAGATTAGAATCTAAATTAATGCTGTTTGTTTTGTTTCGTTTTAATAAAAAAATTGTTATTCCTGCGTGATCTAATCTGTATTCCAGGGGCTTTTAAGAATTCCTTCAGTATTCCTGAGTTAGTTACAGCCAGGAGCTCGGCTGAATCCCGAAGTTGAGCTTTTCTTCCTCGGATGCTCAACGGGGCTGCTTGTGGCCGCTTGCAGCTGTGCACAGACACTTGCACAGGCAGGTTTGTGGCTAAACTGCCTCCTATTTACCTGCTGGTTTGTTTTTATACAAACAATTTACCACAAGTGCTGCTGAATTCTTTGGCACCCCGTGTGTTTCGAGAACAAGGATTGAGCCTTCCTTCCCAGGCGTGTCCAGGCAGTTAAACTGATGCTCGTGGAGGACCTAAGTGCCTGGGAATTGCACCATGAGCAGCCTAGAAGGGTGTCTTCAATGGCTTATTAATGTCTCCAGCTGCAAGCGAGCATGTGATACTCTCCTAAATGCCTTTGCTTTGCAATATGAATATACCATGATGCACATGATTGAAAAATCCCATTCCAGGAAAATCCTTCTCTCCCGTATTAGCATCCTGCGTTCTTCCTGGCCTCTCTGATGGTGGCAGGGCTGAGCTCCTGCAGAGCCACAGGAGGAGTTTTGCTTCCTCCTGCCCAAATCTTCTCCCTGCTTTCAGGGGAAACATTTTTACATTTCACTTGCAAATGAAGCGATTTGCATTATTTGAAGTGCTTTTGGAGAGACAATGGAATAAGATTGAAAAGGAATCCAGGGGAATCAGCAGGCTGCTGTGCTTATAAAAATATGCCCAACAGTTTTTCTCTTCAAAGGAAAACACAGTAAAGACTAATGATTAAACATACTGCCTCGTTATAAGTTACTTCCTAGATTATAGGGTTCGAAAGATCTGGAAATATGGTATTTTAAAATGTTTTCTGTAGTGTCTGGAGCACATCAATGCTTCTGGAAATACATCTTTGGAGAGATAGCGAGCGGAAAGGTCTTTTAGAAACTTTTTGTGGAGCTCAAAGTGTTGTTAGTGATGAATAAAACCGAGCAGGGAACATAGATACGTGGCTGATACGTGGCCATAGCTCCCAGAACAGGAGATTTTGTTTCACAACAGTAAATGAGGACACTATGGCTTTATTTCTGGAATACTGAATCTCTCCACACACAGTTCAGTAGAGGTGCTGCCTCTAGATATATTACTTATTCCATCTCTGAGGACATAACTGTGAGAAGCTTTTCCCCGGTGAATGAATCTTGCACATGGGCTGGGTTCTGGTTTGGTGCAGAGCAAAGAAAAACCGACTTATCTGAACATGAGTCACTTCCTGCCCCGAGTGATCATTTTTTTCCCCCCTGTACACGCAGAGATCCGCAGGCTGCTAGAAATGACCTAAGCAGCTTTCTGGAGCAAAACGTTTCTTTCCGTGGTTCAAAACTCTCAAGCCTTCACTTATTCCGAATGAATTCAGAAAGCCCAGGTGTGACTGCAATTAATAAGGCAAAAAGTCATGAGAAAAGCATGGTTACAGTACTTAGGAGTGGATCTATTTTTAATTCCAACAGTTTCTCCCAATGACCAGTTTCTAGCATATGGACATCTAGGTAACTGTCCTGGCATTGCCAGAATTCCGCATGGTCTTTGCTTGGCAGTTGCTTGATAACCTTTATTTTCTGCATAGATGAGAACTCCTCAGGGTTTTGCTTAATTGTAAGGGCTCGGGAGCTCTTTAATGCAGCTGGATTTGCTTAAGCAGTCACAGTGCCTAAGGGCACCTGTCTGCTTTGTTTCATTTTATCTTTTTGAGGGGGGATCTTAGTGTATTTGGGGTACAGTACAGCAAAGTTGAACTTCCCTTCAAGTTCAATTTCAGACCAGACGAAATCCTGAAATCTTTTTCATGAACTGAAATCTCAGCCCTTTGTTCTCCACGTGTTTCCTGGACCAGATTTGCCCCCCATCTTGCAGGTCGGTGGTGGTGGTTTTGTTTTGCGCTTCGCCTTTTGAATTTTCATTTTATTTTCAGCTTTAATAGCTCTTTTCCCGCTATTACTGATGCTGCTGCACAAAACGCCCCGGAGGGGTGGACTTCAAAGCTTCAAATGCTGCTTTGAACTTGGTGTCCCAGCATCAGGGAATGCAAAGCTTGCAGGATAGGGAAAGCCTAGCAAGGTTCTGGTGCAGATTATCCTATCTGCTGTGATGGCATTTGATTTATAGCACTCGGGGCAAGTTCAAGGGCATGTTGTTGCTGTCTAGCTCTGGTGCTGTCAGCTCCCTTGCTTTCTCATCCGTGACACCTCGCCCTGATAGAGAGATGCTAAAATATGGGGCATTTAATTGAGCTACCCTGGCTGATACCTAGCAAAGCCCTAAAAGAGGGGCTAGCACGAATGCATCACCCAGCTCCAAAGCTTTGAGGGTGTTTTTGGTACCAGAAACGTGATGCATTTTCATATGACCTTGCCCTCTCATTAAACATCAGATAAAACCACTTCTGGGGAGGCTCATACCAGCTTTGCCTTGTCTTTATGACACATTTTGCAAGCAGTCGATGAAGGAAGAAGCCCGAAACTTCTGCGGTGTTAAATAATGGGAAATGCCTTAAACTGGTTGCTCTGGGGATGCTCTTTCATGACTGAAGCTATACAAATTGCTTAGTAAGGATGTATTGGGTTAATAAATAAATAAATTTTGCCATTTTACAGCCTTGTGCTCCGTGGATCTCCATTCCTTAATTGCTCCTCTGTTCTTCCCTTGTCCCTCTGTGAATGTCAGATACTTTTCCCAGCAGTCAATGAGAAAAATACGTAGGTTTCCAGTGGATTTGTCATGATTTGAGGCTTTTTCAGGATTATATCTACACAGGTGAGGTGTGTACCCGTACAGGCTTCATGGAGGCAGTTAAACTTTGTACTGTTTTTAAGAAAGGATGACTACAAAGCTTAGTTGGACATAACACTTCAGGGAAATCTTTCCTCAAAATAAAAAAAAAGGGGGCTTCTCCTTTTGCAGATCGATGGATTATCTTGTGTGTGTATAAAACTTGCTAATTCCGCCTTTTTCTTTTAACAGGGCAAACCAGACCTAAACACAACTTTGCCCATCAGGCAGACGGCCTCGATTTTCAAGCAGCCGGTCACCAAAGTCACCAACCACCCTAGTAACAAAGTGAGGTCCGATCCGCAGCGGGTAACGGAGCAGCCCCGGCAGGTAAGAGGCACCGCTGCCCTCGTTGCTCTTCAGAAACAAGCTGAAAATCCGCTGGGTTTTGCCCGTGTTTCAGTTGCAAGGGAGAACTTCTACCCTGAAGGTCACTTCTAGCAAAGTGTTGCAATTTTCCTAGGAAATTATCGAGAAATTATCGGGAAATTATCAAATTATTGGATCATCTTGTTGAGATGTCTTTTAGCAAGATTCAGAGGCCTCAGCTAACCTCCCTTTGGTCCCATGAAGTTCACCAGGGGCCATGTGAGTGGATCACATTGGATCTAAAAGGTGCAGAGTTACATGTGACCATTGATTCTCTTCACACCTTTGTGAAGGCACCTTTGTGACAAGAGAAGTGGCACTTCATGTCTTGATGGCTTCCAAACCCTTCAAGCTCCTTCAAATGATCTTCCCCCATCTGTCCTAGTCAGGTGTGTGTCATCCCCGGGCATCCCTGTAAAGATAATATCAACAGTGGCTGTTAAGTGAATCCAGAAACACTGCCTATAAAGCCTATCTCTATATAAAACTTCCTCAGTTACTACTCCCCGTTTCTTCACTCCTTGGCCCACATCCCTAAAGGAATTCCCGCTTCTGCTATTTCCAGATACCCATCTCCAAAAGCTTTATCTACTCCTATCTGTTGTATCTCCCTTTCCAAGAGACAGTCTAAGCAGGATTTGCTGCAAACTCTCTTTAGCCTGTCTCCTTCTCCCGAGATCAAAATAAAGCAGTGTGGTAGCTCCCTTGGCAGGCAGGAGTTTCTTCATGATCTGAGAGCTTCATGCTGCTGGCAGGGAAACATTTGGCAGCAATTCCTTTGGAAGCAGTAAATCCCGTAGTAGTTCCTGGAAAGAAGAGCTAATAGCAGCCTGCTTATGGCTTGGATTTAGGTGGATCTGGCAACTAGAGCAGCACATCCTCGTGGCAGCTGCTGCTTCCCCGTTTTCTCCTCTCCATAAACTCATTTTTGACAGTTTTTCTGACTGTTTCTGTGGTTCTGGCCTTTCTTCCTTGCAGGTGCTGCCAGCAGGTCATTAGAACAAATCCCACTCTAGGGAATCATAGGGATTATTAGTGCACCTTGGAAGGAAACCCCAAAATCAAAAAATAAAAAACTGTGCAGTACCTGAGAGCTCTGATTCCTGAGAACTGGATTAATCACAAGTTAACTCTGTCGTATACTGATGAGAAGGTTAAGGATCATTTGAAATCACGCAAAAAAACTGTTTATGGAGGTGATAATCATACTACTGAATTTAGAAAGGTTTAACTCAGGATCTCCCTGATGCATTTAGCTAAAAGCATTCCCAGAAAATGCCTTTCCTGTTGAAAAGAAAACCAACCTCCTCTTTGAAGGTCATTTTGAGGAATTCAGGTATTCATTTAATCATCAGTTTTGTCACCTGGTGCTTCCAGTTCTGATGCAGACAACTTTTGGAACCACCTTAGGATAAATGGGAGTTGCAGCATCCATCCGTAAGCCAAAAGTACTCCTTAAAATGGGCTTAAAAATCGCTTTTATGGTGCCTGTCATAGATACTTGTAGTGAGTTTGTATCATCATGGATGATTAAATAGGATGGTGCATCACCAGCCAGCGCTGGCCAGAGTCATTTGTGCATGAGATATATGCAGTCTAAAAAGCCTAATTTACAAAAAAAATTACCAGATGTCATTCTCTATATGTCTCCTTATTAATGGTTCTTAACAAGGTAGAACGTTGCTATCAGCACTTCGTGCTTTGTCAGATTGATGCATTTTTATTTCCTGGGGATGAAATTTTAAGGGACTGGAGTCTAAAATGAGGCTGTGTTGGAACCCTTTAGAGAAAGCCCTTTGGTTGATATGTTAGAATTACAAAAAAGTGCAATGGAAGGATCCGATGAGACTGTTAATTTCCATCTCCCTCTCCCAGGCAAACTCAGGAATGGTGAAATTTTAATTTCATTTCATTTAAGAAAATCCCAGGCTGGTGGCATCTGTAGTGTAATCCACGTATGTTGACTGTGTTTTCTATAGACGTGATGAAGTTTTAATCAGTCTGCATTAAATATTACCTGGCATGTGTGTGCAAGCAGCAAGGAAATCCGTATGGTCCCAAGGAGCTGGGAAGATACCAAGGCTTTCCCAGGTCTCCAAGTCATGGAGAAGTCAAGAACGTGGCAAGTCCTGCAAGAAGTTCAAGAGCTTGAATGAGGCTGCCTGGATTTAGGCTTGGTTACAAATGTGGCCAGAGAAGAGCACTTAAATAAGTAGTTCTTTATAAAAAGCCAGAGTGCTTTATAAAAAGACCTAGTTCTTTATAAAAAGACATATGGAACACAGCTAGCGTTCACCCTACTGATTTATTACCTCTGCAGACACGTTGTGGAGGTCACTACATTTTTCTTACCATACTTCCCTGCTTTCTTTGCAGTCAGTACTACTCTTAATGCTGAAGTACCCGTTCTTTGTTGCTTTTTCCTTGCCTTTACTACCTCTGTCACTGAAAAAAAAGCTTTTTTTCTGAATAAGAATCATTGATGTGCAGTTTTAATGAGGTGAGACTGGTGATACAGTCCCCACGAAGCGGGAGGGAGGAAACTCTAGTTGTTTCACTTCCAGTTTTAGAACAGAACGTGGCATTTGAAAGCCCTGTCTTGAACTCTCCAACTCCTTTGAGCTCCCAACTCAATTAGTGTAGCTGCTTGCCTTGGAGCTGCTTTTTTGTGTGTGTGTGTCACATTTTTGGGAGGCATGAAAAGCAATAATTTTCTTTTTTCCTCATGCACATGCTGCAGAGAAGTCTTAACTATTTCAGAATACTCTTCCTACAGGAGATTGCATGGCTACGTTCTCACTTCTCTTCTTGCCAAGATTATTTCCTAAACATAGCTTGGAAAACGGAAAACATTTCCAATGAGCTTTCCCTGCTATCCTGCTAGCTGGAAAAGGTCCATTTTAAAAAATCCAAGTGGCCAAACTGCAGCAGAACTTCCTAAAGCAAATCTTTAGACCAGTTCTGTGGAAATGGAGGGGGAATTCGGCATTGTGAACCCAAAATCTCTTAGGCTGTGTTGCCAATTACTAAATCCAGCAATAAGAAGTGAAGTGAACATGAGTTTGCACATCTTTCCAAAAGGATTTGTCTTGTTTCCAGATGAGTCTAGAGGTATCTACACAGCTTAGGAGATGATTGAGGCTCAGACTGTTGAGACTGGGTAGGTTTTGAAGGGGTTTAGCTCCTCTTGAGCATTGATTTTGGTGCAGCTGCACTGCAGAAATGCTCAGAGGTGGCTCCAACATCTCCATGAACCTGCCCAGGTTCCTGGGGAGCCACGAGCAGAAAGTTGTAGCCTCGTTGTAGCTGGTCCAACCATGAGACTCCTTGTGCTGGAAGCAGCTCCACACTCTGTCCCCTTGGCTGCTGCAATCCTGAATTTTATCCGCCACGGACTGCCCATTTTTCCATTCTCCTGAGCAATCTTTTTTTCCTGTTTTCCAGCTTTTCTGGGAGAAGAGGCTACAAGGCCTCAGCGCGTCCGACGTCAGTGAACAAATCATAAAATCCATGGAGCTACCGAAAGGTCTTCAAGGTATCGGATTCATTTGCTGCAGTTATCCCCCATCTGCAAAGTGCTTTGTGCTTAAAAAGGACAGACTTTCTGATGCACTTGGAAAGCTGTTAAGATTACAATCACATTTAGTGAACTCCAAATTTGGAATGTGTTTGCTGACAGAATGCCTCCGTTCCAAAACTATTTATTTTTAATTGGTTTATGTAGTTAACAGAAACCATACCTCGGAACTGTGCTCTTGTTGGTGAAAGTTGACCTAAAACATCAGCAAGTTGTAGTCCAAAATGAACATTTTTGTTTTACTGCTTTGGAGGTTGTCGTAGGAATTTGAGTGTTGCAAAAACGCTCCCTATTTATTTTCCAGAATTAGTTTAACATCTTTAAAGCATAAAAGCAAAGACTATTGAAATATTAGTATGTATTGGTATAGCTTAACCTAATGAAGTTGTTAAGAAATTATTTCAATGTGTGACTGACAAATTTATGATCTGATCATCCTTATTAAAAAAACTAGGGATATTGTAATTGGTACTGTATTTTAAAGACACCAGCCCATTTTAGAAGCAGGACGATTTGCAAAATGCTAATTTATAGTGAAATGGCAACCACGTTATCACGAGACCATTCATCAGGAACTTGCTTATAAGTGTTTAGGTTATATAGGCAGATAGGCAGCAATAATAATAATATCAGGGTGGATAAAAATGGGAATATTGACTGCTCCCTTGTGCTTCTTTTAGGAGTGGGCCCGGGTAACAACGACGATACCCTGTTATCGGCTGTCGCCAGTGCCCTGCACACCAGTTCTGCACCCATCACGGGGCAGCTCTCTGCAGCCGTAGAAAAGAACCCAGCCGTGTGGCTCAACACATCTCAACCCCTCTGCAAAGCTTTCATAGTCACAGATGATGATATCAGGTGAGTTTTCGGATCTTGCTGAGCTCCAGGAAGCAGATGGGATGAACACGAGCTGTGGCATCACATTTGCAGCAATGAATTCTTGGTCGCGTTGGGAATTTGAGGACCAAACTTGGATCTTGCCACTGAATGGAATTCCCAAGGCACCAAAGTCAACTACAGTCACATTCTTTTCTAAGCCATTTGCTGATTTTTTTTTGCAGAGTAGAAAATTATCTTATTTCCAGTCCTGTGTTTAGGGATTTACTGTCCTTTATTTTCTTAAACATCAACTTGAACTGCTTGCAAAGTTAAACTCCTCTGTGTTTGTTGCTGAGAGAACAGGATGAAGAGTAGTATTTATTGGTAGCAGAACTCTGTCTTCTTTTTTTATTGAGCTTGATTTTGGAGAATGGAGAAGGACCCGGATCCTGAACTGAAACAGCTCTAGGAATAAACTCCAAGTTGGGAATCTCTTCTGCCTCTTGGCCGTGTTCTTAGCTCGCTGCAAATGGATTCAGTGTTCATAAAAGCCTAAATTTTGTTTTAAGACCGTCCAGCAAACACAGTGCACGAGAAAGCAGAATCAGAACGTGGCACCACAGGGGAAAGAGGTGCAGTTGCTTCCCGAGCTTGGGAATGGGCAGGAGAAGTGGGAGTATCTGGTCAGCTGCGAGCACAGCTCCTTTTGTGCTACAGATTCCTCAGGAGAGCTTGTAGCAGCTGTTTCCATCTGATAAACTAGCTCTCAGCTCGAGCCGTGCTTAACTTAAAAGTATTCCTGGTTAAAATGGAAATCGGACTCTTTTGCTTCCACAAATTCGCTGAAAAAACAGTAGATATCCTCCTGTAAATGTATGATGAATTAGATCCTCCAGTTCCTTATCAGGAAAAAACACCTTTTTCTTTTGCAGTTCTGAGATGCATCTTCAGTAGTTTTGGGTGTGTAAGTCCTTTCTGAAAATCATAGTTTTTGGTTTTCAGCAGCTCTTTCTCTTGCTCAGCCCAAGCTCTTTGCTGGCTGCTTGGTGTCACCCAGCAGGTCCCGTTCTGAACTTTCTCCTTCTTGCATGGGCTTAGGGACCTCCTCTTCTTAACCATGCAAACTATTAAGTGCCAGAGGAAGAAAATGAGAGCTCAAGGATCAATCTGAGCTCTCCTCAAGTTCCTGAGCTTCTGCTTTAGCATATGTTTTCCCAAACTTCATCAACGTAGTTAAGTGTCATTTAAAAGAAGGTTTCACTTCAAGTAGCCCATTGAGGTGCTGAGGGTTATGATTTTTTCGTGCCAGATTCCTCAGAGTTGATATATAAGATAATTTGCTGACATTTCTGTTGGATTCTGTGTGTGGAGAGCAGCCTCCTTGGAGACCAAGGAAGGAACCTGTTCCAGCACCAACCCCACTTGCATCTTATCAAAAGGAGGACATAAAATACACTTAAACTGTATTTCTGTCATCTTGACCTTTTCATAGTCTCTAGCAACATTTGAAAACTATATTTTACCTTCCAAACCAAAGATTGAGTGAAAATCCATATCTTGATTGTGTGTTGATGCTCGAATTAAAGGTTTTCAATCAACTTTCTCAATTAACTTTCTGCATGTGCAGGGGCAGCGTGTTAAAGAGCCAATAAATAAAGGTTGTAGTTGGAAGAGGGGTTGAGAAACCCATCCTGAGTGACTGTCTGTGCGAGTATTATGTCTTAGTTGAGTAATATACTGGGAGGACTGATGTTTTGGCCCTTATTCCTATCCTGTCCCGAGCGGCCGACACGACGAAGGATCTGGACGTGGACATGGATAACGGCGAGGAAGCATGAGAGGAATCAGGTGGGTGAGGTGCTTGGGAGCCCAGGATCTCCCCAGGATGACTGGATTGAGATCCAGCTGATGGAGATCCCATTGATGGAGATCAGGATCGCAGCGGGAGCAGCCCTGCTTGCTCCCAGCACACATGTGGGCCACACGCAGCACCTGGGCACATATTTTAGCTGCATAACACATTCCTGAAAAGTTCCAGTTGGATAATACCTCTTAAAATTCATTTTCCCAAGGATCCTCTTGAACTTCGTCCCTGTGTGTGGTTTCGATCTGCCAAGAATTTTGTTAGAATCCTCTTTTTTTTCTAAATTATCTGCAGAGGGATGACAGTTCATGCTCTTGTCTCCATCAGCTAGCAGTGCTGATTTGTGAAAGCTCCCAGCTTTGAGATGTGACCTTTTTCATAAGGAGTAAGCAGAAATTTGAACAACTAAGCATTCCGCCTGGAAATTGCTTTGGCTCCAAGACCTCCAATTTTAAAGGATTTCATTCCTTTTCTTCTGGATCTGCAGCTGCTATCCACAAGGGAAAAGAATATGTGATTCCCATTTGACAGATATGAAGAAGTTAACTTTTATACAACTGCAAAGGGTGTCTTGTTTCTAAGATTAGAAACAAAATCTATTTGCAATGCACCCACTAGCTGTTTAATACTCGTGTTTCCAATACAAGTAATTTGTATTTTTTTCTGTATTGGTGCAGCATAAACAGAAATCTGATCTTTATATCATAAAAGCTGTTTTCCAGTGCTGCTTAGTCTACTTAACCAACTAATAATCTTGGCGTTTTCCAGTCTACTGGAGTCTTAATTATTTTAGATTGCAGATATTTACAAATAAACTTTTAATCTTGGAGCATTTCTCTATAAAAGTCCAATTATTTGTATTTTTGAACAAAGCCAGGCAAGAACGCTGACTAAAGATGTGCTTCAACCCGTGCTATTTTAGGATCAAATTGTCAATGGGAAGATTTTAATTCAGCCCGAAATAATTATTTTGTAATAGAGGCATCAATCTATTTATGGAAGTGCTTATTTTTGCACTGCTGCTGTAGTTCTTTGCAGAAATCAATCTGATTATTAGGCCTTGAGTGTCATTAACTGGTGAACTCACTGCTTATTTACATATATATAGCCAACACGTTGGCAATATTCTGTGAAACTCCCTTCCCCCAGTGCTTTTAATTTATAGACTTGAATAAGATTTTGGAGGAAGTGGGTTAGTTAATAGCTTGAAAGCTAAAAATGCTTTTCCTAAAAAAAAAAGAAGCTTTTTAATATACTTTATGCTATATTTCTTAAAAAAAGAGCTCCAAAAGTGATTTAAGAGCATAATGAAGCCCTGCAGAACGCGGGCACTAGGCACAAGTGTCATTTTTTTGGCAAAAGGAGTCATTTCTTTCTCTTTTGCAGGTACTTGGAACTGACTTGTCCCAGGAGGAAATTCCCAAAAGCCAGAGGCACTTTCTCCCTCGGTCTTTCGTTACGAGAAGAAACGGACCCGTGCACATTTATATAGCTTTCTAATAGCATTAAAACCAATGCCTTTTTTAGACTCCTATTTTTGATGTATATATCTTATTTGAAAAGCAACTTTATTTTGTGTCCTATGACTTAAAGTCCTTTTTTAAGTATTGAACATTTCCCTTAATCTAAAGCTGAGCTTTTGATGCCAGGTTGCAAACCTACTGGAATTCTATTGCCTGTCCTGAATATTTGTTTTTCCTGTGGTTTTTAGTAAGGATGGATCAGGAGAACAGAACGATTTCCCAATTAAAGATTATTGTGACGCAGTGTATATAAACAGATTTTTATACCTAGGGGTGAAAACACCTGTACATTCTTCCGTCATCACTGTAAAGATAAATAAATGATTATATTCCAATGAGTTGAGCACTTGTTGTGTCGTGGGTGGAGAATGTCCTGCCTATATTGTGTATTTTATTGTATTTTATTTTTGCCCATATAGCAACAGAGCAGAGCCACTTGCCAACCAGCTTCCAGGATATCAGGAAGACACGGATTTCCCAGCAAATTGTGGTTTTTTGGGGAATTTCTTTAAGGTGCTTTTGGGGAATACTGCACTCCCTGGTCACTCCTCAGGACACAGGGGGTGTCTTCAAGCCGGGATAAATCCTGGCAGGAAGAATTTGAATGGAAAGCAGGGAATACCCCCAGCCCTGCACCGCTGCCACCCGATTTAACAAACACTTGTTTCATTTGCTGACACGTCTTTTATCCCTTTATTTTTTTAATATTCTGCGGAGGAACCGCTACTATCAAGGAGCATGAAAACCCCTGGGGGGAAGGAAAACTCAGCGTCCTAAAAAACGAGAAGTTTCCTAAGTTTTGTCTCAAAAAAAAGGGGAAAGAATGAGGAGGGAATTTCCTCTGCTGCTTTCAGCACCTTTTGGTCATCTCCAGGGGTTTGGAGGCCTCCTGCTTTCTCTGCATCACTTTGATGCTAAAAAATAAGTCTGACAAATGACATAACTGCTGTTAAGTCCAATTTTGAGTGTGCTTTTTCGTACAAGGTGTCAAAATCAGAATACAGAGATGATTCAGGGTCTATTTAAAGGGATTTGAAAGTTCAACCCAGCGAGGGCGCAGAAATACTGAAATTGGGGTTAAGTAACGTGATTTGTAGCACGTGCAGGACGTTGAGTTGCAAAGGCCCTTTAAAAGAGGGATGAGAGATTCGGGAACCGCTTGGATTCTCTCTTCTGCCTCCTCCCCAGTCCTGATGAAGGGGTTTTTTTCCAAGGAAAACCTTTGGAAGGGTTTTTTCCAAGGAAAACCTTCGGAAGTGCTTTTCTGGCTAAGATATCCATCCCCTCGCCAAGTTTTAGGCAGGAATCTCCCGGATTGCCCGTTCCGTGCGGCAAACGGGGCTCGGGCTTCCGCGTGATCCCGTTATCCCGAGAGCAGCCCCAGGAGCGCAGCGGGAAGCGGGACGTGGAGCAGCTTGTGATGGATCCGGGCCCCTCTTTTCGCTCCCCGTTTCCCAGCGCTCCGGGATTGTTCCCGTTTCCCCCGCGCTCCAGCGGGGAAGATGCCAGGGATCGGGAATGGGACGATGCAGGATGGAGCCTCTGGAGGTCAGTGTAGCTCCAGCTTCCCATCCTCGGGAAAGACGCATCCATCACGCAGCATCCGCATCCGCGGGCGGATTCTCCGCGCCTTCCCTTTCCCAAATCCAACAGCAT